TGGCTCTGTGGAATTTTACCCGATACCGACGTTAAACGGGGCTTATGGTGTACCCGATTAAATGGTCGTATTTTAAATTCGTTTGTAACTAAAACTTCTTAAAAGGATATTTAGGGTGTTTCCCGCATTCTAAATTTATTCCGATCCTTATGAAGTCATAGTAAAAGTACAAATTTTTATTTGTTTAATCCCAATGTTAATGGAAAAGTTAAATAAGAACGAGTTCTATTAATGGAAAACGGGTTATGGTGACGGAATAATTTCGGGTTGTCACATTATGAGTCCAAGCTTAAACATATTAGTGTCTTAGGAAGTGTTTCTAGAGATTTAAGAATAGAAATTGTGATTCATGTGTAAAAGCAAATCACACTAGACTGTTTTTCCAAAGATTTAAATAAAAACTAATAATTGATTTGATTTGATACATTATGATGTTTGGGGAAAGTATCGTACACCTACACATTCAGGGGCTAGTTATTTTCTCATTATAGTTTTTTTTTTTGAAAGAGGGTTTTCTCATTATAGTTGATGATTATAGTAGAGTTTTGTGGGTATAACTACAGAAATTCAAGAGTGAGGCATGATATAGTTTGATAAACTTTTATAATATGGTCAAAATGCAATTTGACAAGAATATCAAAGAATAAGTACTAACAATGATGGTGAGTTTGTATCACTAACAATGAAGGATTATTATGCTAAGGAAGGGATCATGCTTGAAACCACATGTCCATACAACACGCAACAAAATGGTGTTGTGAAACGCCATCATATACATTTTCTTGAGATAGCACAGGCCTTAAGGTTTGAAGTAAATGTTCCTATTAAGTTCTGGGGGGGTTTGTGTCTTAGCAGCCACATATATCATACACAAGTTCCCCTCTAATGTGATTGGGCACAAAACACCTTATGAGATCATATTTTGGCAAAAACCTGATAACAACCACATGAAAGTTTTTAGATGTTTGGTCTACACAAGGAATACAGATACTAAGGGAGACAAGTTTAAAGTAAAGTGGAGACCAGGTATTTTCATTGGGTACCCTCAAGTGCAGAAAGGGTATCGTGTTTATGACATTAAAGATAGAAAATTTGTTGTGTCAAGAGACGTCAGGTTCATTAAAAATGAGTTCCCGTTTAATTCACAAAACCTCAATGAAGGAATAAACAACATGATGAATCAGACTTCATTAAAAAAATGTAGACATAGATGAAGAACTTGTCCAGTGTGAAGTGATCAATGATCATAATACAACAGCTAGAGTCATTGCAACCACATATCAAATGACTAATGAAACGACCATAGATGAAACAATTGTACCCGAAAATGAGCAACCAATTGAGCACTCAATACCACCGATTCTTGTTGATATGCAACTAGCTACAAATCAAAGAAAAAAGAGAAACAAGACATGAACTAGACACTTAAATGGTTTTTAAGTAAAGTTTCCCCCTTAGGTTGACCATTCATCATCGACACATGGCCAATAGGCTTCGACAGTACATGATCTTGCTAATTTGGTTTTTTATGATGACTTTACAGATTCGCACAAAGCTTTTCTAGTAGCCACTGGGTCCCACGAAGAACCCAAAAATTTCAACCAGGATATGCAATACGTCAAGAGGAGAGAAGAAATGCAAATAGAAATATGAGCCCGTGAACAAAATGGAACTTGTTCTATTGAAGATCTACCTAAAGGAAAATGTGCTATTGAATCAAAGTGGATCTACAAGGTCAACTACAAGCCAACTTGATAGGTTTAAAGGTTTAAGTCGTGCTTTTCGGCCAAAGGTTGTATGCAACAAGAAGGGGTGGACTATCATGATACTTTTTCACCGGTGGAAAAACTTGTCATGGTTCGTACCTTGCTCGTAGTTTTTATCAAGAAAGATTGGATCATTCATCAGTTGGATGTCAATAATGCATTTGTACATGGAGACTTAGATGAAGACATCTATATGAAGATCCCACAAGGTTTCGCCAAGGAAGGAGGGACAAAAGTATGCAAATTAAAGAAGTCTCTCTATGGTTTACAATAACTGTCATGAAATTGGTATCAAAATTTCACTACGTCATTGTTTAGTGTTGGTTTTAAGCAATCATACATTGACCATTCTCTTTTCGTTTACAAGCAACAAGAGAGCTTCGTTGCTTCTCTTATTTATGTTGATGATGTAGTGATAGTTGGCAATGATTTTAAAAAGATTCAAGAGATGAAAAGTTATTTGAACAAGGAGTTTAGTATCAAGTATCTTGGACCATTGAAATATTTTCTTCGCATAGAAGTTGCAAGAACTGTTGACGCTCTAGTGTTGAGTCAACAAAAAATACACATTGGATATTCGTGAAGATTGTGGGATGATTGGCTATCATCCTAGCACGTTACCAATGGAACAAAATATAAAGCTTGATCAAGGTGAAAACATTTCCAATGTTTATCCATATTAGTATAGGCAACTCATGGGAAGGTTTATCTATCTTCAAGCTACAAAGTCATATATAACTTACTTAGTGAACGCATTAAGATAGTTTGTGTTAGATCCACATCAAATACACTTGGATGCAGCTTTACATGTCTTACATTATTTGAAGTCTTCACCATGTTAATGTATACTTCTTCCTAAAGATGGAGGAATGAATCTTGTTCCATATTATGATGCTGACTGGCTTAGCTGTCTTGTTACAAGACATTTGAGGACCAGGTACTTGGTACTACTAGGAGGAGCTCCCATCTATTGGAAGACAAAGAAACAATCGGTTGTTTCTCAGTCTTCTGCTGAAGCAGAGTATCAAGCCATGGCAACAACTGTGAGTGAAGTTTTGTGGTTTCCTTGGTTGCTTAAAGATCTTGGTGCCCATGCAAATGGGCTTACGTCTTTGTTTTTCGATAATCAAGATGCATGTCATATTGCCAACAATATTGTGTACCATGAGCGCATGAAGCACGTGGAAATGGACTGTTATTTTGTCTGTGAACGAGTTATATCCAAAAATTTTTTTGCCTCTTTGCATTCATACGATTCACCAAGTGGCTGATTTGTTTACAAAAGCTTTAGGGGCACCACGACTACACTCCTTATTGTGCAAGCTGGGTGTTTGTGACTTATACGCTCCAACTTGAGGGGGAGTAAAGAAATCGATGTAATCATATAATAGCAGATTGCTATGATTTGTTTCCTTTAATCTTTTACTGTTTTATAGGCTTTTGTTTAGAGTTTATTTTTGATAAGGATTGCTATCCTTGTTGTGCACGTTTTTCTGGTGTATATATACCATATCGTTTATTGAATAAAAGTAATCTTTTGAGCCATTAATTTGTTTAATATTTTGGGTGAATAATCCTAGCTTGATACCATGTATGCAATATATTTATATATGAGAAAGTAACATTGGGCTCCCTATACTATTCAAACATATAAAAGTAATGTATACTATAAACTAACACCAACGATTACATGGCTCTTTTTTTGTTGCGTTTCATATTAGCATGTTAATGACTTATAAACTAGATGGGACAAGAAAGAGGTGAATCCAGCACTTGTGACTACTACCAAGTGATATGGGTATTATGTTTGGTCTCAATCCATCTGAGGGGAAATTGATTTTGAGTTGAGATGTTACTTTTGCCGAGAGGTTTATAGCCGACCAAAGTTCTGTCATGAAGGTGAATCATGCCTCGAAATAGATGGATGATGTAGCTTAATTTTCCCATTTGTGGGTGATCTCCAATAGAAGAAACATTGTATTTCCATAGTTGTTGGAGTTTTCCTCCGGCCAAAACATCTCACGCGAAACTTAGCCTTGACAAGTCGCCTTACACGTCAAAAAACCAACCATTCCGTAGAGCCTTACACGGATACAAGTTCTAGAACATGTGAACATCTAACAAAGCATTCATTCCCATATACTATACCAAAGTGTGACATGGGCTATACGGCTTCTTTTGATACTTTCTAGTTGGCTGAAGTTCAAAAACTTTACCTTTTTCTTTCAAACTTTTACTTGTATCACCACCTGCATCACCAACAACGCCACCACTAACACCATCACCACTGACCAACACCACCTGAATAATTAAAATGCTAAATGGATAAGTCAAACGCTTAATGGTTACAATGTTTGCAGGCTAAAATCTTTTCAAATACACTTTTAGGCTTCACAAAAAGATATGATGAATTCCATGCTTTTGATACGTTTGCTTTTACAAAAAAAAAAGGTTCCTTTTAGATGTTGAACTATGTACAGTTGTTATTAAATGCGAAAACATACTGTGTCCACCTGTCTTCGCTGTAGCTAGAATCACAAATTGACCATTTTACAAATCAATACTATATGCATTGGGGCTTACAGCAATTTCTTTAAAATTACAGGCTCCACAAATGCTTTACAAAAATATATATGTTCAACAAGGCTTGATAAATCATTTAAGCATATTATAAGATAATGGAATGTGTCATGCTATGCCATTGTCACACATATACATACATGGATCTTGCTGTGCTTTTAAAATAACTATACATACTGTCCATTGAGATATTTGAAAATAACTTGTACTCCCCTCCACAGAAAATGGTTAACTGTCCACACACATGCGTTGTGTGGAGTTATTTTAAAAGCATGGGTAGGAGGGAGAGGGTGGGATGGGTGATTGGACAATCTGAATTTTTATATTAATATAAAACAATTATTAAAAATACAAGATAACTGGTAAAAGAGTCATTGCATGTGAGTTACATGATGACAGACACAGATAAAAAGGTGAGCGATGGTACGAGTAAAAAACAAAAAAACTGCACTAGATCCATAAGCAGATTCAAACCACACAGATGATTTATGTATTTATTCTGAATTGTATCATGTACAATGTAAACTCCTATGAGAATGTCTTGTCTTCCTTCACTTTAGATGTAAAATTTTGTCTCAGTCTTACATTATGCCTAGTATTTTATGATGTAACTATTGTTGTCTTAACTGCAAATTTTGATTAAAAAAAGACAATTTATGAAAAACAGAGGAAATACCTGTTGCAATAGTTCTCTGTGAATTGGTTCCTTAATCCCGTCTTGGTCTTGGCACCTGTGTTATCCAAGGCTGTGAAGGTTTCAGTTTCTGAGGTAGCAGTTGCTAAAGCATAAGACTGAAGAAGTGACTCAGATCCAACAATATGCAGATCTTTCAACAAAAAAATGCTACGTGGAAGATGATTTATTCCTGTACAGTTTATATCCAACTCTTCTAAACACTCTAAACTTCCAAGTTCCTCTGGCAATTTCTGGACTCGACTACAAAAAGGGAGATAGAAATATCTCAAACATTTCATCTTACAGATGCTGTTTGGAATATCTTCTAAAGATGCACATTTTTTCAGGTTCAGCTCCTCTAAACATTCTAATTGCCCAATATCCTCTGGTAACTTCTCAAGAAGCTGACAAGATTCAAGGTTAAGATATTGCAGATGTTTTAGCATGCAAATGGTATCTGGAAGACTTCTAATACCTGTAGACAACAAATTTAGCTTCTCCAAACAATCTAACTGGCCAAGATCATTGGGTAACTCTTGAAGAAGCAGACAGGATTTAAGTTTGAGAGATAATAGCTGTTTCAACATACATATGCTATCTGGAAGATGTCTAATACTTGTAGACGACAAACTCAGTTCCTCTAAATGTTCTAACAAACCAAGATTCTCTGGTAACTCTTCAAGATACCGGCAATCTTTAAGTTTGAGAGATTTTAGATGTTTCAACATACAAACACTATCCGGAAGACATATGACATGTGTAGAGTACAAAGTTAGCTCTTCTAAGCATTTCAACTGGTCAATGTCCTTGGGCACCTCTGGAATACAGCCATCCAATGTAAGGCGCCTTATGTGTTGTAAACCACAAATGCTTTCTGAAACACTCTCAAGCTTTGTGCAAGGCTGGAGATCTAGTAAGACACACTCGAGACTAGTTTCATTTGATGAAGATTGGTCTTTAGAATAATCAAATATGAACCGTAGCTTTGGCAGTTTGTTGCGGGAGTACCTTGGGAATTCCTCCAAGCACACCGCAGACACCAATAAGGCAGGTAAACTAAGAAGCTCAAGTGATTCCAATTGTTTGATAAACGAAAAAGATACAGACAATGAGCACCAAAGTAAATCTAAGTAGACAAGCCTTTTTAGACATCCAGGGGGCACATGAAGTTGTATCAAATCATGACATCCTCTAAGCTCTAACCTCTCATGATTCGGAGTCATCCCAAAGTCAAAAGTCCTCACCTTTGAACAACTAAGGTCTAGGAACTTGAGCTTCTTAAGAACCTGTTATACGCAAAAAGAACAAAAATTAGACGAGTATTGATGTATCAACTAACAAATAGATGAAAAGCATTACAATGAATCAACCATTGTACCTTTCTTTCTCTTCCTTCCCAAAGTTGCACGATTCTGCTATCAGGCAATTGAAGTGCAACAAGATTATTTGCTTGAAATGTTTGGGGTAAAAACGGACCAGGGTAACCATTCCAATTCAATAACTGCAACGAATTCGGAAAGTACTGTTTTTCCTTGTCAAACTTCCAGTCACTAGGGAAGCGGTCATCGTCACTCCCAGTAAGAAAAAGATATCTAAGTTTCTTCAGGTTTCCAAGGCCTTTTATAATAATTTCAGGACTCACTTCGGTCAGCTCCAGCTCCAGTCCAGTACATGTTGACGCTTCAGTACCCTACAATCCAAAAGCAGTCACCATGAAACTTGTGTCATATATGTAATGAAAATTTGTTAGTTTTAGTAAAGCTGATCCTTACCACATTATCTGTGAATAATTCTTCAATTTCCTCGCGAATCCAGAGTCGGCTATGTTTGTTTGGCTCACGAGGGTGCGACCGCTGAACAATATTCTTGCCCAATTCTTCTATTCTATCATGCATACCCAATCCATTATGTAAAATTGTTATGAGAGATTTTTACTCAAGAACTCTTAAACCGTAGATACCACGAAATCCACAGCTATCAAATGCTCTAATTGCATCATCTTTAGGAAAACCAACCATGAAGCATGCAACATCTAGGAATATTTCCTTGAGATCATCCTCCAGGCCGTCATAGCTTATTTCCAATACCTCTAGAGTTTCCAACGATGGAATTGTTTCTAGTCTTTTTAGTGCATCTATCCATACAACCTCTTCTTCACCACAAAGATGTGAACCCAAAACTTTGATCGTTAAGGGCAGACCAGCAGAATAACGTACTACTTCTGATGACAGCTTTTCAAACCCTTGATCTGGAATATATCTCTTAAATGCATACCTACTAAACAGGCTCATTGCTTCCTCATCCGACAAGAAATCGACATCATGAATCCACTTCGCATTCACTCCGTGTGCTAGCAGCACTTTCTCGTCTCTTGTTGTAATGATGATTCTACTTCCGTCCTTAAACCAATCACCAGCTAACGCCTCAAGCTGCTTTGGATTATCCACATCGTCTAGAACAAGAAGAACCTTTATATAGCGTAGTCTCATTCTCATGATTTTTTCCCCATCTAAAACACTTCCTCTGTGTTCAATGTTCAGGACATCTGAAAGGACTCGTTTTTGCAATGACCGCAAACCCTTCTTTTTTGAAACTTCCCTTACATCATCAACAAAGCAACTACCTTCAAAAAGGGAAGACACTTTATTAAATATAGATCTAGCCAATGTTGTCTTCCCAATGCCTCCCATACCCTTGATCCCTATGATTCGCACTTTATCGTTCAAACCAATCCCCAAAGACGACTCCAGCTCTTGCATCCGGCGGTCCATGCCTATCAGATTTTCATCATTGCTCAAATGAATGGAACGTAACTTGAGTGAAATCTCCTCACCAATTTTTTTGATGGCTTCAGTTTCATGCCTGCAGATCAAACAAGATTCATGTGGCTTGATCAAGAATATCCCACACGATCAATTAGTTAACATACACATATTTCCTGTGTCTAGGGTGTTGGAAATAAGAAGATCAATGTATGCAGCTGTGTTTTCAAGTTAAATTGAGGAAAATTGTGATTTTTTGCTGTTGTGGAAACATGGGAAAACAGAAGAAAGAAGGGCTTGAGGAGCTGTTGCAATAAAGGTAAATATTACTCTCAAAACTGAAGGAAACGGTTACAATGGATTGCAAGACAAAGCAAGGAAATAGGTAATACTTAAAAGCCCAAATTGAAGTACAAAAGTACTATCTACAAATCAAAGTCATGCTTGATAAATCAAGGGCGGACTGGTGTATACCAAAAAAAAAAAAAAAAAAAAGTCAGATCTGGTGAAGTGATGGCAAAAATATATTTCAATTTGTTGATGAGTTTAAGGAGGTTCAATCATCACATAGAAGACTCAACTTTGAGTTAAAAATTTACAATATAACAATTGTACAATGAAAGAGCCTTCTACATCCCCACAGACCTAGATTATAGATACAAAAATGAAAGAATAATTTTGCAGAGATATGATGAAGGAATTTATACCCATTAGCAATGTTTTTCAGATCCCACCCAACCAGATTGCCTGCACTTTCAAGAGCCCTTTCCCATTTGTTAATCTGTTCGTTAGACTTATGTTTGGTGATTGCTCTTCCAACTGGCCCACTTCGTTTGCGGATGTCACTGGGCTCCACATCATAAAAGAGCGGGTAAGCAATCTGCTCATTCTCATCCTGGCACTCCATAATCTTCGCAAGTTCCTTCAGGCACCAAGAAGAAGATGCATAGTTTTTGGAGAAGACAATGATAAAGAACTTTGACTCTTCAATAGCTTTGAAGAGCTCATCGATCCGTTTTCCTTTCTTGAGTTCCTCGTTGTCCCTGAAGGTGTGAATACCTTTTTGCTTAAGATAAGCGTAAAGATGATCAACAAAGGTCTTACGTGTGTCTTCACCTCCAAAGCATAAAAATACATGATACTTAAAACTCTTTTGATGGGGTGAAGTTGAAGAAGACGCCATTCAAGGTTTTCTTGATGGATCTTCTATGAATCAAATCGTTCTTGAGAGAGATTCTTAAGAAATAATTGCAAAGAAATTAGAGATGCATGTGAACCACGCACAACCCAATGATCGGCAAGATCTAGTAATTTCAACAAAGTGAAGACATAAATTTCTAAATAATAAAGTCAAGGAAGAATTTTCAAATGCCCCTACCAAATAAAAAAAATTAAAAAATTAAAAAACTAAAAAAGTCAACTGATCAACCAAGCTTTTTGTATTGTCAGCGATTGCAAGTTGCAATGGTTAAATGACAAAGTCAACCAAACTTTTGTATTAATTGTTAGAGTAAATTACAAGTTTCGTCCTTGTGGATTAAAAATATAACAGGTTTAGTCCTCAAGATTTATTTATTACAGTTTTTTTTTCTATTTTGTAGTTTCATTGCTCTTTTGGTCCCTTGACCTAACACTGTAGTTTGGTAATGTTAAAAGAATTTTGATCAATTCACCTATCCATTTTAAGCAACTCCCATAGATCCAACAAATACTATTTAAGGGGAAATGATACAAATTTCTTACAAACTTTTCAAAGTTGGTACATATATAGACACACTTTCTCTCAACCCGTGATACTTTCAAAAGTCTAAGGTTTCCTTGACCAGTCTAATTTTGAGCTATTCGTTCATGTACCCATTTCTCCATTTTAACATCTTCAAATCAAATTTATTTACTTTTTTTTTGGAAGTAAAACATGTTTTTTCATTAATTGAAATATCATCGTACAATGAATGAATGGTAAACGGGCAACAAGCTGCGCCGCTAAGCGTTTTTGTTAATTACAAGAGTGTGTATCAAGAGGAAGACGAACAAAAGTTCAACCCCTCGTTTCCCTAAATCTCTCTCCAATCGATCAAAACCCCCTTCTTTTCACGTTTTTTTTTTATTTTTAGTTTCCAAGTTGCCGGTTGCCAAGGGGAAGAGCAGCAGGTGTTGTTTAATTGTGTGAGATATTATGATAAATATATGACTCTAAGATGGAGATCGTGAGGCTGATCTATGGTGATGGAGTCGGTATGGTGAAGATCGATTGAAGGCTTAGTGTGGCTGGATAGTTAAATCCCTCTCTCTTCTTTATATTCCTTCCCCAACATCTGCCATGAATGACTTTCTTCCTTCTCTCAAATGAAATTTCATCCTTGTTATCTTACAATTTTCTATTGCAGTTGGGACACATACCTTCCTTTTTCAGGGTTAGGAAAACCCATCATTGTTTTTTCTTCAAACAAAAACCTGTTAACTAACAAGACCAGTTAAGTTAGAGTTAGTTAGAACTTTTTATGTTAGAAAGGGCATTTTTTGTAATTTTGTTAATTATTCAGTTAGATTTGTTTCTTCAGTATATGTATCATAGCTTGTAGTCTGTATTGATTCAGTTGAAGAAATAAGAACAGGAAGTCATGAATCTCTCTCTCTCTCTCTCTCACATCTCTAACATGGTATCAGATTTATTGATCCGTTTTTCTGCATTCGTTTTTCAATCAATCATTCGTTCTTGATTCTTCAATCAATTCTTATCTTCATCAATTGTTACTCGGTTCATTGATTCAATTTGGGGATTTTTTTTTAAACGATGTCTCAATCGGGTAATGCGTCAATTCAATCCATTATCATTGATATTTCAAGTCCTTTTATGTTGTATCATCTTACAATCCAAGCAATGCTCTTATTACTAATGTGTTTAATGGAACTGTTTTTTCTGCTTGGAATCGGTCCATGACTATTGATCTCTCTACGAAGAAAAGATTAACTTTTGTTAATGGAACAACACCAAAACCTCCTGCTGATTCATCATTATTTGCGAACTGGTCAGAGTAAACTCCATGGTGATCAGCTGGATACTCAATTCACTTCATCACAATATTGTTGAAAGCTTAATTTTCCTTCCAACAACTGCTGACATTTGGAAAGAACTCAATCATCGTTATGAGCAAGCAGATGGAGTTCTCAACTATCAAATTCGACGACTGTATTCTCTATCACAAGGATCAGATGATTTCTCCAGATATTTCACGAAATTAAGCAAAATTTAGGATGAACTTCGAATTGTTCAAAGCATTCATAACTGTTCATGTGTTGTTGCTTCAGGTATTGCTAAATACCTTGATGATCAACGATGGATTCAACTCCTCATGGGATTGAATGATACTTTTAAAATACTTCATGGTCAAATATTGATGATGAAACCACTTCCAATCTTTTCCGCTGTTTATTCTATGATTATTCAAGAGGAACGACAAAGAGAAATGAATACTCTTTCAACTATTAATCATGAGATGATTGTTATGAATGTTTCACATGATTCTTCTTCCAATTTTTCTAAGAAGGCTTTAACTTGCACTCATTGTAAGAAGACAGGACACTCAATGTTACTAATTAATTGGATTTCCATCTAATTTCAAGTTCACAAAAGCAAAGAAAGAGGAGCCAATATCTACTGCTCAATTTGCTACTACCAATCCTTCTCCTACTATATCTCAAGAAAGTATCATCAACTCTTGCAACTTCTCAATCAACATAATCTGCTATCATCCAACCAAGCAAATTATTTTATTCTTCAAGAAGCAATGACATCTGATGGTAATGATTTCTCTTACACTCATTTTGTTGCAAATGTATACAAGTCTTCTAGATTTATTAAACCACATCTTTCATTTATCATAGACACAGGTGCAACTGACCATATGTGTTCTAATCCTCAACTTTTCTTGAATCTAACTCCTTTTACACAACCACATTCGTTTGGGATTCCTAATGGCCATTCCTTGTTCATCACACATTATGGTGATATTCAAATTCATGCATCAATCATTCTCAAAAATGTATTGTATGTTCCATCCTTCAGATACAATCTTGTATCAATCTCCAAGTTAACTTGAAAATCAAAAACTTTTGTCTTATTTATTGATGAGACATGTCTCATGCATGACCCATAGTTGAAGAATAGATTAGCTCTTGGAGTCATTGGCAAATGAATAAACAATCTCTATGTGATTAAGTATCAAGAACTCAAACAACATCTATCTTACAATTTTTCTGTTTTCAGTCCCCTTTTATCATCTGTTTCTCATGTTTCTCATATAATTGATAATCAGTCTGATTCAAATGTTATGTTGTGACATAAATATTTAGGACACATTGCTATAGATAAACTCAAGCAGTTCTTGAATTTTCCTTGGAAATACACTAAATATGATATTGCATCTTGTTTAACTTGTGCTCAAGCTAAACAAACACGATTGTCATCTCTTGATAGTACTTCAGTTTCCAAGGATTCCTTTGATCTTATTCATGTTGATGTGTGGGGTCCTCATAAACATAACACATATGTTGGTTACAAATACTTTATCACCATTATTGATGATTTCACAAGACACACTTGGATTCATTTGTTGAAACAACAAGAGTTAAGCCTTTTCTATAATCCAAGCCTTTGTCAATTTTGTTAAAACTTAGTTTCATAAAACCATCAAGTGCATTCGAAGTGACAATGCTAAAGAACTTGGTTCTAGACATGATGGGGTTGCTTATTTCAAAGAACAAGGTATTATTCATCAAAATTCAACACCACATACACGTCAACAAAATGGGCTTGTTGAAAGGAAGCATAGGCACATTTTGGAAGTGGCTAGAGCATTATTTTTTCAATCAAGAATAGGAGTACAATATTAGGGAGAGTATGCTAAACCTGATATGCATATGTTAAAAGCCTTTGGATGCTTATGTTTTGTTTCTTCAACAACAATTGTTAGGGATAAGTTCATTTCTAGAGCTCATACATGCATATTCCTTGGATATCCATTCAGATAAAAAGCTTACAAAGTTCTGAATATTGTCACTCAAAAAGTACATATTTCACGAGATGTTAAGTTTTTTTAACATCTTTTTCCCTTACACGCTCTAAAATCTGTTGAAAATTTTGTCCCCAACACTTCATACATTCTAAACATTTCAACAGAATATTATATTTCAAATGAATTTCCTTCCCATTTGGTCCCAATTCAACCATTAAATCCTTCATTCCCATCAAATTCCCAATATACCCCTGTCCTACCCGTACAACTCAGAAGATCTTCAAGGAATCATAAACCTCCTGCACATCTCCATGATTATGTGTGTAATGCTGGAATATCTTTTGATCCGAATTTCCCTCATACCATTACAAATTTTTGCATTAACAATTCCCCATGTTATGCAACTTGTAATTTGGTTCTCCATGATTCGTATGCTTTTCATGTGGAAAATAATATAACCGAACCAACTTTTTATCATCAAGCCAAGGGCATACCTGAATGGGAACAAACTATGCAACATGAATTAGTTATTTTAAAAGAAAATGAGACATAGGACATTGTCAAGCTTCCTAAAGGAAAAAAGGCAGTTGCTTATTAGTGGCTCTACAAAATTAAGTAATGATGAGATGGATCTATAGAAAGATATAAGGCTCATTTGGTATCCAAAGGATTTACTCAAAGACATTGGATAGATTTTCATGAGACTTTTTCTCATGTGGTCAAATTCACCACTATTAGATGTCTTGTTGCTATTCCGGTCAAACGAAAATAGGACATACATCAGTTTGGTGTAAACAACTCCTTTTTACATGGAAAATTACATGAAGAAGTTTATATATGATTACCACCTGGTCATGAAGCTTCTTTTTCCTCTTCTCTTGTTTGTAGATTAAAAAAGTCTCTTTATGGGTTAAGACAAGCATCAAGGTTGTGGTATGCTAAATTGTCCACTACATTGAGATCTAAAGGACACTCTCGTTCCCCAAATGATTATTCTCTTTTCTTAAAGAAATCAAATTCATCAATTACTATTATTACAACTTACTTTGATGACGTTCTTGTCACTAGTGATGACATTGGAGAAATACAAAGCTTAAGAGAGTTCTTACATCATGAGTTCAAAAGTAAAGACTTAGGTCTTTTACACTTCTTTCTTGGGATAGAATTT